CACATAATCTTAAAATTTCTATGGTCAGAGTTTAGTCAACTAGTTTAAGGAACAAAATATAAATCTAGTCAATCTTTATCTGAGAATATTTGGTTCTTTACCCAAACCTTATCTACATAGCACATGATAATTAAAAGTGTTAGACTGGTAGAACTAACCTTATTGGATGTTTAACAGCCCTACTTTAAGGCCTATTCTAATGTGATCAGAGAGATTAAAGGACAGTTTTTGCCCCTTGCTCTCCAAGGCTTATTGGATGTTTAGTAGCTATAGTTTGAGGCCTATACTAATGTGGTCAGAAGGACTTAAAGGACAGTTTTTGCCCCTTGCCCTCCAAGGTCGACTAAGTTCCAGGGGACTATGGAACATCTCTCAAAATGTCCTGTAACTGTGGTGAGTCACCTGTCCTCTTGTTCAGGGAGGCCATGGAGACCCCACGAGATGGACTTGAACCAGTGTCCAGTCTACAAAGAGGAGGGTCAACTCAGAGGAAATATGTCATTCATGCTTCCAAGTGAAGCCAGACATGGTCAAGCAGGACCTTTGACTTATCTTCACATAGACGGAACTGGTAAAAGAATGGAGCCAGGGGCTCCTCCCAAGCCCATGTGACCCCTGAGGAACAGATCCTCAAATGACCTTAAGTGTAAAAATAAATTGATTTATTTAGGCCAACTGTATGGTCTTAAACACCCAAAAGGAAAGTATAACCAAAGAGTAAAGTCATCAGTATATATATATTTTTTGGTCTTTTTGAGACAGGGTCCCCCTGTAGCCCCAGCTGTCCATGGAGACCAGGCTGGCCTCGAACTCACAGAGATCTGCCTGCCTCTGCCTCCCAAGTGCTGGGGTTTAAGGCATGCCCCACCATGCCTGGCTATATTTCTTTAAGAGTTCAAGGGATTACACTTCCCAGACATTAGGCTTAAGTCTATATAAAAAGTTATTTAGACAATTGTTTTTCATTGATAATTTTGTTCCTAACCAGAATGTGCTGCTCAGATGTAAGACTTCAAATCTTGGTCTCCAGTACTGTAGTGCCCACCTGTAGCTAAGGGAGACAACCAGCTATTGTTCTGAAATGATGGATAAATTTGCTTTCTTCCTCTATCTAGAAGCCATTGAGAGGGAACTGACACTGATTCTAACCACTCCAACAGCTATCAAAATACCTGAAAACAAATCCTGAATCCATCACTCTAGAGTCCAGCC